CCAAGGCAAATTGTGATATGTGATATTGGGCTTTTTAAATAAAATTGAAATGAACTGAATTGGATTTATAAATGTTTTTTCTAATAATCCATCAAATTTAAAGTGTAAAGGAGTTTTTTATTTTATTTCTTTTTTAACAACTTCTCAGCACAAAAGGTTTCTAATAAATGATCTATAAAACATTTTAAAATGATTACGTGAATATGACTAAGGCCTTTATACAAGGTCTTTAATGAACCATCTGAAAGCATGTTTTATTAAAAAGTGGTACCATTTTGAGAGTATATGAAGAAATTCTGACATATTTTTTTAAATTGCTGTTTTCTGGTGTGTGTGGAGTCTTTTTCCTCTCTTGGAAAGTCTCTGTCCTTGAGCTGAGACACCTGACTGGGCGCATGCTGTTGGATGTTATGCGGGGAACACTGTTTCAACTAATATTTTTTTGGCTTTCTTGCCTTTATTTGATAGGACAGTTGCAGATGGAACAGAAATTGGGGAAAGGGAGGGGACGACATGCAGCAAAGGGCCATGGGTTGGAATCAAACCCAGACCACTGTGGCAAGGACACAGCATTTTGTTCATGGGGTGCACACTCTGTCAAGTGGCACTCCAAGAAATTTGTATTTTAAAGGTTAAATTTTGAATGGCAAGAGTTGTCGGTGCTTTTCAGCCAACCAGATGTAAAACGTTATTGATCTGTTTTTCAGTGGAGAACTGTAGCATCCCCTGATAGTACTAATGCTGTTACACAGCCTCTTTTACCCTGACAAGTATAAACTCTCAAATACTGGAATTTTTCACATCAAAATGGTCAAACTTACAGAATATCACCACAACTGTTTGAAATGTTTGGTACTGGTTGAATCAAACTCATAATTTTCTTTGCAAGTTCCTAGAACACTGTATCTTTCTGTAAAACTCATAAGCTGACAGCCCCTCTGTCCCCAGCATCCACAGCTGTGTTTGCAAATGTGTGTGTGTACGTATGTATGTGTGAGTGTGTAATGGAATCTGTGCTGACCGACTCTCTCCACTGGACCCTGCTGTAATTACACCACTCATCGTCTGGGGCTGGGCACACTAAGGCCGCTGTTACCCACTTCATGTTTTGCATGTAAACTTATAGTCTTGCCAGCTCTTGCTTTCATGATACCCAAGACTCTCAAACTGGGAACTGTAAGCAAACACAGAGTCGGGTTTCTGCTGTGCAGGACATAAAGCTGACAAACCTCCCTCCTTCCTCGGTCTGCTCTTCATTTGGACTACGCAGGAGATATCACAAAGATTAATGCTGGCAGTAGCAGTGTAGTCAGGGAGGGAAAAAAGGCAACAATTTCTGTTCTACATTAAACATTTAGCTTGAGGAACTGTGTTTTCCTCTTGAAGTAGAAAACAAAAAAACTCATCCCATCAAATCCTCTTCTGCAGTGCCTGCTTGATTTCTACTGGGAGCGTCTATGCAACAGTTTCATTGCTTAGCTCAGACCTCATCTCTTGAAAAAGTTCTGTTTAGTAACTATATTTGTCATTCTGGCAGTGCCCCAGCCTCCTTCCTTGTTTGGTCCTTTTAACTTTCCATGTAACTTTCCTCATGTCTCCTCACGGCGAGGATAAATATTTCATGAAGAGCCGGAGGCTTTCCCTGGCACATGCTGTACCTCGCTGTACCCAGGAAGCCTGAGCAGCGGAAACCAAAACAGTAGAGGAAGTGGACAGACAACCCAGCAACAGACAGGAGCTTGTTTTTGAAATAGTTCACTCCACATCATCTTTTGCCCTTGGAGCCATCATTCCGCCCCCCAATCCAACCCTCCATTTCTTCAGCATCCATTTTTCGTCCTAAGTCCATTTCTCAGCCACTAAAATATTACTAATTGGGGTACCTGATTAGATAATTATGACTGCTATGTAAACAAGAGAATGAAAAATAGCTATACTCTCAGTGAACAGCAGCAGACAATCTTTGAATGCTGTTTTTTTTTAGTTAATATTTTCCAGCCCAGTTGCCAGAGTAAATATTGGCATTGTACATTTCTGCAAACGACAGCTATGTTTAATTTCGTGCATTTCATATGTTGCAGATGTGTTGAAACTTTATGTTTCTTTAAGTTTCAGTTTTTGAATTTTATGTGAGGACAGCACTGTGGTTATGTTCAAGCACAAAACCCACTTGGTTAGGGCTAGGAAAACATAATGGGCTCCAGTTTCGCAGACTGGGCGCGGCGGGGGCGCAGCGCACCTGCGCTTCGCCAACTGGGTGTGGCCAGGCAGATTTTGTAAGTTTGGCACTCCTTTTGCTCTGGTGCAGCTACTCCTCTTTCCTTCCTCCGTCCCTCCTACCTGCGCTAGTCGGAAAGAGGGAGGAGAGAAGGCGTGGAGTGGGTTTTACACACATCACACCAATCAAATGAGCCCCTCTCCTCGCCCTTAAATGCGCCGCGCCAAGGCGTAATGAGAGTGTACTGAATTCGCCATGGCAGAAGAGAGCAGCAGCGTCAGACGGCCAAACTTCTCCCAGGAGGAAACTTATGTTTTGGTCCGGGAGGTCCAAGCTCGCAGTGTCCGAATATATGGAACTGCGAGCAGACCTCCACGGGCTGATGATGCAAAGGTAGCCTGGGAGGAGATCACCACAATTGTAAATCAATGTTGTGTTTCTCTCGTGCGCGCACACTCTCTCTCTTTCTCTCTCGCAGTCTCACTCTGTTTCTTTTCTTTTGACTTTTCTAAGATGACAGATGCTGAAAATATACTCCCTATCTGATGCTGTGGCTGTTTGTGGTTGGCTGAGAGGGATGTGAACTCATTAGTTTGCAGCTGTGTTAATCAAATCAGGTTGGGTTTCCATTACGCGTGCCAAACGTGCCAAACGGTGCCAATCCCCTTTGATCTGACATCATATGTGACGGGACAGTCGGTATAGAGATACATTTATGTGCTGATTGCAGATAGTTGCAATGAATAGTGGTTTTTTTTGGTATTTATTGCATTGTTAATGTGCCTGATATTCTGGAAACCTGCCTGTGAGGTTTTGGTGACGTGTGCGCACTGTCTGCTGGTCAGCCAAACTTCGGCTTACACCGGCTGCGCTCCCCCTGCACTGACAGTAGACCTGGTTTCAGATGGCGAGCTTTTAGCGCACCTTCTGCGAAGCCTTTTGGCACGAAACTGTCACTGCGCCAAGCTGGATCTGTCAACACCTCCCCCTGCTGCGCCACCACACCCATCTCAGCGCACCTCGGTCTGCCAAACTACCAAACTGAGCGCGCCTCGGGTTCCGCTGCTCGATACTAGCTCTGCGCGGGTTCGCCACCCTGCGCCACCTGCGCTGCGCCAGGAAACTAGAGCCCAATGTTTTGGCTTTAAATACCCAGTTTGGTCCCCACAAACATGGCTGGAAATCTCCCGAACTGTCAGTAAAACATAGCCGCTTTTGTCTACAACTGTGTTCTGCTGCCGTCTGCTGCTTGGTAGACATCTCGCCAAGGTGTCACACCATCCACCATCCCCTCCTCTTGATAAGAAACTCTGCTCATATACATGTAATCTTAACTACATCATACATATGAAATGTACAATGAATGAATCATTGTTTTACAAACAGGACAGGACTAAAACTTTAACTGGAAAGTTGTGCTGGAGTAGGGGACACACTGAATAAGCAAGATTACTGAGAGGCTCACCAGAATTTGTAGGATTCATCCTCTGGGGATTATGAATATTTCTTACAAATTTCGCGGCAATCCATCTAATATTTTTAAGCTTTTACATTTGGATCAAAATAGTGGTCCAACCAACAAATCAACACCACCATCCCCAGAACCACATCACTTGTAAAGCTCAAAACCATGACTGGTGTGTGTATAACCATTTAGGATGGTCAAGATAAGTTTCTTGTCATTTGGAGTAAAGTTCAAACTGAAAGGCATCTTTCTTTTTCCATGTCAAATATTTACCTATTTCTTGCATATGGGCAGCTCTAGCTCATGATCCTTGCTTGCACCAGCTTTCCTCATGTAAACACAAAGTGTTAATGACACATTTTGAAGTGGTGGACACATCCACATACTGCTGTTCCCTAGAACTAAACAGAATCCTCTTTGTTAGCCATGTACCTTCAGTCCTCTCTGCTTTTCTTGTCCTGACTCCTGTGCTCTGTCCTTCAGGTGTGGTCTGGATGTGACAGACAGCTGCCAGCGGTGGCCTGGTTTCACACCTTGGCTGTCCCCCCCTCCGCAGACAGCAGCCTGGGAAACCACAGGCCACCAGGCTGGCGCCAGCCTGTACGGCTTAGAGCAGGGCAGCCGGCCCAATCAATACCTCTGCATTTCCTGTCCATTTGCTCAGGTCTCTTCATTAATAATTACTGCTTGGCGGAGCTTCAATGCGCTCGCTGGCTGGGCCAAGGGGAGAGGCTGCGTGACCTTTCCCCGCCCCTGGGTTGACTTGGATCACATACACAGGCATGGGGACAAACATAATAAGGCAACGTAGATGACATTACTCCTGATTCATGCCGTTTCCCCCTCTGTGGAAAGTATCATGCCAAACTCCATTTTTTGCAGCTGTGCTTATCAGCAGAGGTACATACCTGGTAGAACATGACTTTAAGACATTTTTACAACTGGATTGGAGCTGCTCTTCAATTTGGCAAACACCCACTACATCCAGCAGCTATGATTTCAGCATCATCTGAAGTGTGCAGTAATGAGCAGGGTGAACCTGGGTGATTCTTTAAAAAAAAAAAAAAAAAAAAAAAAAAGGAATTTTGTTGGGACAAGTGCGCCTTGGTGCATCATTTGCCGTTCATGGCACATTTTCCAGATGACAATAACAATTCTTCAAAACATCTTAAATTACGTTCTGCCTGGTATGTGCTTTTGCTGATAAGCAAGGTGGTAATGAACTGCCAGCTTTTAAAATGCAGCTTGGAGTGATATTTTCTCCACACAGGGGAGGAATGGTATGTATTAGAGCCAACACAATGCATGACATGATGCTGAAGTAATGTGTTTTTATTCTTTTTTTTAATGATGACCATTTATGGATACAGCCATTGCATTTCTGATGCACACTGTCATCCTGAACAGAGCAGAACAGCTTCTCCAGACGTGAGCCAGCACCTGGCTCAAAAAGAAGTTCATTTGTCTCGTAAGTGTCAACCGTTCGGTGGTTGTTGTCCTGTTGCCTCTGCAGACAAAGACACTGTGTGCGTGCCTGTGTGTGTGTGCGCGTGTGAGTCCAGGTCAAAATTTGGTGATGGCGGAGGCAATGTTCTCCAAGGCGGATCGAGCCTCGGAGGAGGGGAAAGTCTGGATGGCCTCCAGAGCCTTGTTGCCATGGTAACAGCATAAGTCCACCGCTGAGCTCACGCCTTTCTCCGACTTAACTGCTGCCAAAAGCTGTCGAGGGATGAAAACACACGTTAGTTTGTCACGTTTGTGTCACTCCTGTTGCAACCCAGCTGTCAACATGACAAACTGTTAAGAGCCAGGAGAAAGTTAATGTGCTCTCAGAGTAAGGGACTCTTTAAGTAACTGGACTGTAGCGAAGCAAAGCAATTCTTTTAATGACACAAAACCCATTGTATAACACAATCATGCATTTGCAAGCTGCCCCTGGCACCACTGGAGGCAGCTTACTACATTTAACTACAAAGTAAAAAAAAAATTCATCACTCATCACTGTGAGGTGTACTTTAAAAACTGGCAGGCCATCTTTGACAAAGAGGAGGGAAATACACGTATGTTTCTGTAGGTTCTACCCAGGCCTCTCGCAGCTCTCCTATCTCTCAGTCTACTAATGACGGCACCAGATCACAGGGCTGGTGCATGGCCAGTGTTCGTGTAGACTTGTATGTTCTTTATGTTTCAGTGTGACTGCATACATTTGTGAATTATTTGAATGTTTGTTATTAAATGTAGTTAAAAAATAAAATTTGATCTCAATAAGACAGGTCTACATGCCTGTGTATACAAAGCCTCAGACTTACACACACAACATATGCATTTCATACACGGAGAAGTGGAAAACATCAAGTCAGATCAGCCCCGACCAGCAGCTTAAGTATTCAGGCTGAGTGAATTTGGGCGTCTCCCTGTGTCTTACTGCTGGTGTGTTGGGACATCTTTTTGCTGAGGGCGTTTTACCTCATGAATTCTGGAGGTGGAAATCCCCGTAGGCCTTTCTTCTCTTAAAAAAACTGCAGGTGTTGAACTCGGCATCATCCTCGCTGCTTATTTAATTTGAAAAAAAGATTCTTTTTCCCCATCATTTCAAACCATCTCATTTGTGAACTTTGTTTTGTTTTACATTAACTTAATGTTCCCTCCTCTCAGTAGCCTCTGTTCTCCTCTGTTTGCATGTTGGTTAACCTCACAGGTCAATGAGACATCCTGTTCTTTCTACGTGTACTTTCACTGGATTCGTTGTCTTTTTAGGTAAAACCCTCATCTTGTGTAATTTGAGCTTTAGTAAGTACTCTAATTACGACATTGTTCAACAAAATAGGATCGAGATGATTAAAAATTATAAAAATGTAACATCCTTCCCTACACTTGAGATGAACTTAAAATGTAAAATTAACTAGAATTATTGCCTGAATTATGCTGAAGTTTACATCCATGTCTGTGAAATCTTTCCACATATCTTCACCCCTGGCAGCACAGAAGATCTATACAATCAGCACAGTTTCAAGGTGGACACCCAAGATTAAGGTAACCAATTCAGTATCTGACCAAATGTCTCCCCTTCTGTTCATAAGTTATGACACTGAGTAATGGCCAGAAAGGTGTTTTTGCAAAACATGATGTCACAGTGAGGTTGACCTTTGACCTTTTGGATATAAAATATTACCACTAGATCCTTATATCCTATTGAACATTTGTGTGAACTTTTATCATGATTGGCATATGAATTCTTGAGTTATGGCCAAAAACATGTTCTGTCAGGCCACAGTGAACTTGACCTTTGCCCTTTGACCACCAAATTCTAATCAGTTTGTAGGTAGGAGATTGTAGGTAATGTTCAGTTTGGCCGGGGAGGCCTGGGGCTTGGCTCAGGTAAACCGGTATGGAATACAGCAGGCCTCAAAGATAAAAGAAAGCTGGTTGTAGAACAGATACGCAGACAGGAAGAGATAGTAAGGGGTGCAAAGGTAGTGGCCCAGGCTAAACAGGGACAGTGGTTGAATTGGAAAAGTGTAGAGAAGAGGAAGCTTAGTTGGAGGGACCTGTGGAGTATGGAGGAGAATCGTATTAGATTCCTGGTAGGGGCTACATACGATGTGTTACCAACCCCCCAGAACCTAAAACTGTGGGTAAATGAGGACCCATCATGCCCATTGTGTTCACGTACCGCAACTTTAAAGCATATTTTGTCAGGCTGTAAAGTTAGCTTGTCACAAGGCCGATATACATGGCGACATAATCAGGTGTTGAAATGTTTAGCTGCAGGCATCGAAGGGAAACGAAGACAGGTGAATTCAGAAGGTGTTAAGGATAGGGGCTTAGTAATTCAGTTTGTCCGTGAGGGAGAGAAATACAGAAGGGATAAGTTAGTGAGGAGGCAAGGGTGTGGCCGCCTAGAAGGTGCTTGTGATTGGGAAATGCAAGTAGATTTAGGGGGAAAGCTTGTTGTTCCTCAGGAAATAGTCTGTACCAGGCAGAGGCCTGACTTAGTGTTGTGGTCAGTGAGTCAACAGATAGTTTATTTCATTGAGCTGACAGTTCCTTGGGAAGACTCAGTGGAAGAAGCCTATGAAAGAAAAAAGCTTAGATATGCAGACTTAGGAGCAGAAGCTGAGCAGCGAGGATGGAAGACTAGGATTTGTCCAGTGGAAGTGGGGTGTAGGGGATTCATAGCAAGATCAACTGTCTCACTCCTGGGGGAACTCGGAGTGCGGGGACAGAATTTGAGGAAGACAGTGAGGGAAATGTCAGATGAAGCAATTAAATGCAGCCAGTTTATCTATTACAGAAGAAATAATGTCAGCTGGGGGCCAGCAGGGGGAACTACTAAGAAGGGCACATAACTCCTTGAGATCAGGTGGAGAGATCCACTTCCTGTCAGGAGAAATCCAGGAAGAGGAAGTATTTAAGTGTGGGATTGGCCTATTGGAATCCATTTTGTTTGAGGCCATGCGGCAAGGTGAGTGTGCTTGCTGATCCTGTAAGTCCAGTTAGCTCCTTTAACTTTAGCTTATATTGTAGTTATGCTATGTAGTGTGTGAAATAGAGTATGGTGAATGTGCTAGTAAAGGTAGTATCAGCATTGCTTCTGCCTGGAGCTCGCATGTATGGAGCCTGGGTTTGGTTGAAGATGGCAGTACTGTTTGGGCTGAGATCACTGTCCAGCCTCCTGGAGGTGTCTTTGTTGTGAGGGCTCGTCCTGGGGAGGTAGACTGTACAGCCTAACCCGGCGGGGGAGTGTGATAGCCTAACAAGGCTTCCTTCCCTGGGTCTACCTCCTCTGTGGTAGTATAGGTAAGGTAAAGGAGGTTGTTCGGTTAGTGTGGGGAGCAGTGAGACCTGGCATTAGGGGAGTGTCTCTGGGACGCCAGAGATCACTGTCTAGCCTCCTGGAGGTGTCTTGGGACTAACTAGACGAAACACCGGTGAAAGGAGGTTCCCACCTGATGACCCCAAAGACATGTTAGTTATCACTGCTCACGGGTCTGTATAGTTAAGCCTTGCCATAATAGCTTATCGTAGGGCTTAGGAGGATTATTCACTGAGTGCTGATCCCTTTTTATTTTTTTTATTTATTTTTTTTTTTATTAGAGCACAAACTTCTTGTGTTTATTTGAATTCAGTTCATTGTTGAGTCCAAGTGAAAGTTTGTGCCAAATAAAAAAACAAAATTCCTTCAAGGTGTTTGAGATATTGGCGCTTGCAAGAATGAGACAGACGAGGTCACAGTGGCCTTGACTTCTGACCTTTGACCACTAGAATATGACCAGTTCATTGCTGAGACCACATGGGCGTTAGTGCCAAATTTGAATAACTTCCCTCAAGGTGTACTTGAGATGTTGCATTAAGAAGAATGGGATGGATATGTGGAAAGACAGACAACCCTAAAACATAATGCCTCCGGCCCCGGCTATTGCCAGTGTGGAGACGTAAAAATTGATATGTATAATAATAAAAAAAAAAGATTGATCATTTGATTTGATAGTTTAAACTTCTTTTACTCACTGACTTATTATGTGTCGAAGCCGCTGACTTCAAGCAAAAGCATGTTGTGTGTGATTTTCTTACATTATTTGTCCAAAATATGCCTTTAAATAATATTCACTTCCACCCAATCTGGGTTCTCCTTCTCCCCAAATGATCAATTTTACAGCTGGCAAATTTGTTTGCTAAAAAGTGTTTTTGGGGGGATGTTTTCTAATTGGGAATGAAAGACCAACAGACTGAATGCAAAACAGTATGAAATGGGAGTTTCTGTAAACATTTATGGTTATTTATCAGAGTTAATGGGATGAAAGCGCATGCTAAATCATGTAGACAATTTCTAGATGCCAGAAATGTACACGAAGTTCCTCTAATTATGTGTTCCCATCTTTGTGCTGAATCAAAGCAAAGTTTTATGCAAGAGGGTCCAAGGTCTTTCTTTTTCCTCCCCAAAATTTCATCCCTCCCTCTTTCCCCGCTCTCAGCTTTCCTCCTCGTGTCCCCTAATATCTCCTTCCCTTCAAACTTCTCCCCGTGTCCCCTTTTTTCGACAGGTCTGCTGAAGGAGATTCTCTCACAATGCCACTGTCTCAGAGCCTCAGTGTCTCCTCCGCAAATAGGCCTTGGTAACTAATCCTTCCTGCTCTGGTTTCAGACGGGACTGGATAACCCCCACAACACCATCAGACCCCTCCTCTGTAGCTTCGGTCTCTTCTTGCACCCCGATCGGCCCCCCTCTTCCCTCGCACGTTGACTTTGGAAAGCTCATTTCTCAACTTTGATATAGGTTACAGTGAGAAGACGTCCTGTTTCTCTTTGATGGCTCTGTCAGATGCTGTGCCAGTACATAAACAAGTGAATACATTAAGATAAAACAATGAAAAATGGAGCTATCTTTCTGAAATGCAACGCAAAGGAAACAGAAGGTGCTGCATTGGAATTAGCATTTGTGTAACATTGTGAAGTTCACAGCACACTGAAGAGGCAGATTCTGTATAGAGGAATATATGAACCAGTGGGCTTACCTTTGAATAATCCAGTTGGTTTCTCAGTGTTTTCGCCTTGCAGAGAATAGAGAATAATTATCAGTTACATTACACAGGTTTCCAAGCTTGCCTTCGCATTATAATTAACAACTCTTTATTGACTTTTAAAAAGGCTGATAAAACTGAAGAACTTAAGGAGCTATATATAATATTCAGAACACTCATACTGCAGCAAACAACTACTTGATATATTAAGATATAGTGAAGAAATGTCATTGCTGAGCAGAGAATGAAGTAATGTACCCTTTGTGTGTGTTGTAATCTGAACTTCTCTGTTTATTGTTGTGGTTCAGCCATGTGTGTATTTTATTTCATGTGAGCCCCTGTGTGTGTATCCCACAGGCTAGCTCCTCGCTGCTGCTCCACACTGTGCTCATATGGTAGTTACCACTGATACTGGGGGCAGCGTTGTCGCGGAAGAGTAACGCCCACCTGGTTCCTCCCCAGTTAACACCATTAGCTCTGTCAGCACTGTTGCTGTTTTGCACTGTGAACACCATAAGCTGCTAGCCACTGGCTCAACTACCTCCATGTTGAGAGCCATATGGAAATAATCTATGAATCATAAGCCCCTTTAACACATGGATTATAATATGGAAATTATCTACACATTATCTGGAAGAACTGGATGTGAGTACGCCAATGTCCAAATCAGGCGGACTGGACATTAAACGGACTTTACCCTGCCAACTCCCTATTGAAAAGTCTGTGTAATTTCAGATAGAGACTGTGCACGTGGGCGTGTTGATAATGTTTCTACCATGACGCTTGTGCAAAACGGGGGGGGGGGGACGCCCCAGGGTGAAGAAGAAGGTAAAATGTCCACAGAGATGACGAGAGATGGGAACTTCTCTTGCTAACGAACAAAGCCAAAATCATCAGACAAATTAAGGGAGCAGCAAGAAACTCGTCATTTACCAAATTATGAACTAGCTACATGACTGCAGTGTAATCCATGTCATGTCCTGTGTCCTGTATGCTGTACCCAGGTGCCACCCCTGGCCTATACTAGATTGAGTAAGTGAAAACGCCTCTGACAACTATCTCCTGTAGTGTGCTACACGTGTGAAAGGGAAACCTGATTCTGGACATTGTTCGAAGTTCATATGAGTTCTGAATATTGTAAAGAGCTCTGTTCACATCACCACACCAAACCTTTTAAGTGCTTTAAGTAGACATGATAGAGGCCTTATTTCCTCCTTCTGAGCATCGTCAAGAACTCTTTTTTTAAATCCTGCTGCTACAGTGTGACACAAAAATGCAAATAACTATTTTCTTCAAGATGAAAAGCTTTAATAAATGAAGAAAAAAGAGAAGTGCAAGTCAGATTAAATAAATAAATGCATAAATTCAGTGGTATTGACTGGTACTTTTTTTTTTTTAATATACTTTATTAATCCTTGAGGGGAAATTCAGTTTTTCACTTTGTTTGTCAATTACACACAGGTTCGAACACACACATGCACAAACTGGACCTATACATGCACTAAGTGGAGAGATGTCAGAGCAGGCTGCCCATGACAGGTGTTCCGAGCAGTTGGGGGGTTCGGTGCCATGCTCAGGGGCACCTCGGCAGTGCCCAGGAGGTGAACTGGCACCTCTCCAGCCACCAGTCCACACTCCATATTTTGGTCCAGACAGGGACTTGAACAGGCTCCCAACCTAAGTCCGTATGGACTGAGCTACTGCCGCCCCTACTTGGTGCAGCATCTTGATGGTGGCCTGTTTCTAATTCAACTATCCTCTCACAGGTTACCACTAGAAAAACGACAGCCATTCTCGAGCAAAGTACTGGTACTAAACTACTACTGGTGCTGGAGGAAAAGTCAGGGGACTACCAAAGTAAGCAGGTTTCATCCTCTGGAGAACATGAATGCACCAATTTCACAAGCATTCATCCATTAGTTGTTGAGATATTTCAGTCTGGACTAAAGTGGTGAACAGCCCTTGTGGTGCCACTGACAGCATGGCAAAAAAACTCTCCACATTTTAAGTAAATGAACAGACCCGGTCATGATTTCTCAAAAGAAACATTGCTGTTGAGTTTTTGAAATGTATTTTTTTGGCGCTGTGAGCACCACAAGCCGAGCGCCATCTAGTTCCACTATACTGGAGAGAAGACAGACATTTGTACCGCTGATATCTCCAAGACTCAGCAACTCACACCAAAATAATCTAGACTGATAAATAGCACTAAAGGTAAGAGGAAAAATATGTATTTTTTATTTTGGGATGAACTGTCCCTTTAAGTTGTTACACTTTACCTATGATACCTGTTCATTACGTGCGTGTAACGTTGCCACCAGTGACTGAAAACAAAACAAAATGAATCTAGCTGCTGTATTAGTGTTATGGACGATTCATACCTGCTGCAGCTGCTGACGCCATCTCTCCTGGCCAACAATCTGACGATGGAAAACCACTGGGGCGGCGCTCAAACTGAACGACGCAGGCTCTCCCATGCTGCTCTTCACAAACGGCTGCAGGTCAGAGTTCAGCTACAGAAGAAAGAGAACATTTGTCAGTCAGGCAACAATCAGGCTGAGGCTACTTTGTAACCTTAAGGCAGCAATTAAACCAACCCAGTGGTGAAAGCATGAACAGGTGAGCGTGCGCTGCGTCTACCCACACTCTGACTGCCCCTGTTAATGAGCAGCATGATGAACAGTCTGGTGAGAGACACAGCTAGCCTGATGAGAATGGTTGTCCTTCAAAGACCTCATTTTGGTTTGCTCCCATGCTGAGACTCCCTGCAGCCACTGAGGCCTGCAGACAGGCAGCTACAGGGAGCCACAGCAGGAGAGGACGTACTAACACAGCACTGTGAGTGGGATTATATATATCATTTGGGCTAGCACCAATAAGATTAAGTAATATTTGAGAAAATATTTGAGCATATGAATTATCTGGTATACTACTAACATTCCATATGTACATTTGTTTCTGGTTTGAGAAAAATAAGACACTTAAATTTCATGTACTGGTAGGACACTGCTCCATCTATAAAGGAATAATTACTTATTATAAAGCTGTCAGTTTTTACCAGTCAACATATTTCATCTGCTTTTTCTTAGTGCTGCCCCCTTTGAACATTATTTTTTGCATCAAATCTGTTACAGTGCGAGGCTGTTGTTAAAAAGGCATACTGATACTGATAAAGTAAAATAAGGCCACCAACCCCCCACATAGAAGAGAAAATGATTGAATACAGCTGCTTTCTGCAGATCAGTGAAACAAGCAGCCAATCAGCAGCCTGTTTGAAGCAGATTCATTCCTTTACATTGATTTGAGTTGATCGCAGTTACAAAATGAGGAGTATTGAGGAACAAACACAATATTAAAGCCTCTGAAACCTTGGTTTCAAATAAAGACTGCATATTAATGGACGAAACATCTCCACTTCCTCCTATATATATATATAAAAAAAAATGAAGCCAAAATATCCCACATCAGGGCGCCACCATGTTGCACTGATGACATCATTTGGAGCCAGAGTCTGTGCAGTAGTGATCTGGGGTGGAGCTGCGGTATGGGGTTCCCACCCATACACCTGTTCGACCCAGTCGCAAGCAGCGCCAGTGATTGTGAGCACACCGATTGCCACACACAGCTGTCAATCATGACATTTTATAACATCAAATAACTAGTTAAAACCAAATTTATCAGAAAAATTAACACTTGAACATACATCAGTGTGATAAAAATTATGCCAGGGTCTTTTTTCAATTGATCTCAATGAGAAGAGATCGTATGTGGCTGCATGCTGTGGCCTAAAGAAAAGGTATTGCATCCAGCATCTTTTATCAAAGGCTGCATCAAGTTTTTTAAGTTGAAATTCTTTAAATGTTTTTGGAAAGGCGCGGGTGTAGTCACTATCGCCCCTTGTTGCCTATCCCGAGTGATATGCTATATCAGAAGCAGAAACAGAAAAGCCCATTTAAAGGAAGCAGATCATGATGATTATGAAGTGCTGGGATGAAGTGCTCCCCAGCACTGTGCCACCTCTTTCTGCCTAAGACAAACGTTATGAAAAGCAAAAAAGTGAGTTACACTTTCATTTTTTTGTTTGGTCCGTGTACCATCCGCTAACATGGAGAGGGCTGGGTTTATGACCGTTTATGACCTGTATTGCATCCAGCCACCAGGGGGTAATCGAGATGTTTTGGCTTCACTTTTAGTTAGCTGTCATACTACCAATCCTTATATACAGTCATTGGTTTCAAATCTTCAGTACCATGTTGGCCCAAATATAAGATGTACTTACTTTGAAAATATTGTGTGTTCATATGGTCTCCATCACTCTTATTCAGAAACTGACAGAGAAATATATTTCCAGCGCCTTTAAGTCAAGGAACTCAACTGTGATTATCTGAAAAGTAGCCCACTGGTGTGGCAGCTGACCCTTATTGATTTGTCCTCCAAAGACCAACGTCACTGGTATTTGCTGTGCGGTGGGTGGGACGCTCAGATTTGGACTTACCTTGTGGCCCAGTGATAGGTGCTTGCCATACTTAAAGGCCCATCTTTGGGACTCCTTGTCGTGTTTGGCGAGCTCCATCGCAGCTTGACAGCTCTTGGCCAGCAGTGCCCCGTGGGACAGGAACGTCTGCTCTTCCCACGCCGCCACATCGATGCCATCAGTGAGACTATTTTCCTGCAGAGCAAATAGAGGCAGAGACGCCGCGGGCTTGAGCTCTCACTGCTTCTACTGTACAGCTTCAAAGTTCCCGCAGAGCACAGCAGAACTCAATCAAAACAACCCTTTTTCTTTGTAAGTCGTCAAATCAAAACAACCCTTTTTCTTTATTTCATGCACCAGATTAACAGCAATTCAACACAGTGTTTCACACAAGTTCTTCAGTTATTAATATAGACTTGATAATGGAGAAAAGAGTTCATTTATAATCTCCATCATTACACGTTAATTAATCCCCAAGCATTTTTTCAAATAAACAGACAACAGCAGAGGTCAGAACTGAAACTTTGTCTGGGGTACATGGTGACCTTCACGCATCACTGTAAAAATCAACTTCCTGTAAACTGCTGTGGAACCTAAAAAGCTCAGTAAAATTAAGGGAAACTTTTGCTCACTGGTAGCTGACAGCTCTGTGGTGAGTTTCAGAAAGACTCTTCTTTCTTTCTTATTCATAATTCATCGAGATGTGTTTTTTTTCATCCTATTAATAGCAGCTAGAAGTGCCTAGCTTCAGAACCATTCACAAAGCAGTAACTTCTCTTCTGTACACAGCTAGAACCAACTTCCTGATTATCTGATTCCCTGCCAACCTGGGCCAATTCAATAAATACTGGAAACAGTGAACTGCTGCACCATTGTTTCTTGTACGTGTTAAAGGATAATGTTGGTGTTATTGAGTATTTTTGTTATAGTTAATGGAAGGACAACAACCAACAATTAATGTGCCAGTCTCAAACCTGTACGTGGCACTCCACTGCTTTTAAAGGGAATGGAAGATGACGCTCTGATTGGTTGAATTCATATTAAGTCAAAAACAGACATATGATTAATTAAGGGACTAAATACAGCTCCTTTGCCTCTTGCACCTTACTTTGGGCCCAGATTATGTGCTCTTTAACTAGCAAGTGTGGAGCTGGACATGCCCCGAATGCACTTGCTCCATGCACTTTCGACCATGCGCTACGAATTGTTTAAATAGGGCCCCTACTGTAATTTTTTAAAAGGCTCAGCAATTTCCTACAACAGCAGGTATTTTCTTGCTAATGTTATTCTAACTGCAGTAAAAAAGTGCATTTGTTGGGGACTATTTTATCTTATAAGTAAAGTCCTTAAAATTAACATGACGTATGAAATGTAAAATTAGATAGATTTGCAAAGACGTTCATTTTTGTATCACTGTATTCCAATTGACTCACATACATAGTATATAAATGGACAATTTCCTGATTTTTTTTTGTTGTACATGATGTATTCAGGCTTTTTTCCCTTACATAAACACACATCATATTATTTAACTCCACTGCCATACATCAGAGTTGGACTATAGAAGGAGACTAGATGCTTTACCTCAGTATTACTGGAATTCTCATTGTAGATTCCTTGAACCACATCACCAATGGCACTTGACATCAGTTCAACAACCTGCCAAACAAATAAAAAACATGAGACATTTGGGTTAAAATTTCAGTCTGCAAGCATTATCAAAACATTAAAAATCCATTTAAACACCATCCTCTGTTATATGTAAGACAAAGCTAAATAATGGGTTTGATCCGCACAACCGTCAACATGTCCATCAACAGCCAAGTGTCCTTGGACTCAGGCACTGAACCGATAACCTACTCCCTCATTATAAATCACTCTGGCTAACAGCATCGATTAAACCCCTAAAATGTAGATGTAAATGAGGTCGATCAAAACTGACACGCTACTCGGTTCATCCGTGACATTTGTAATTAAAAACCACAATTTTCCCCTGATTGAAGCGCGAGCTAACAACGCTCTCGTCTGAACAGCTGCTTCAGTGAATAAATCAGAGGTGAGATGAGGGTTGGAAACCAGGTGAACTGCTGCAAACTCAGCTGCTCATTATCGGGCCATAGGGGAGCTCCTGTTGATTTTCATAAAGCAGAAGCAGGCTCGCCGTCATTCATTATACTTTGTGTTTCGAGAGAAGGCCAGTCGATGGAGACGGATCAGGTGTCTGTCCGGTCTGAGGGGCTGAAATGGAGCTAAAAGGCAGATGGTGAGACCAAATAAGACTGTGTCCAGAGAGCAGAGTGGTTAACAAGGTTTTGGAGGGATGATCTGACTTTGGGGTCCTCTTTGCTCTCCTTTTTCCCCACAAATTATTCGAAGATTTATTTCACTTTGTTCCTTTGAGCAGGGCAGATTAGGTATCGATATGTACAGCATCTATACATTGGTGCTTTTCTGCAGAAGAGGCACAGAAAACTGAGAGAGAACCACTTCCTTTATCACAAAGCTATAGACTCTTTCCAGTACAAGTTAATCAATATACTGTACAAGGAAAATGTGTTGCTTTTGGGAAGCTGACATTAGAGAATGTGCCTTTCTACCTTGAAAAAAAAACTTTAAAAAATGAACAACTTAAGAAAGAAGCTACAAATTTTCACATGCTGCCTTGTTGAAGTCTGAGTAGTTTGTTAAAGACTGCAGTTGCCCATTTCCTCTTACAGGGGGCATGCATGACTACAAAACACTACCAGCCCCTTATCAAGCACCACCAGAGAGGCTGCATCTTTTCAAATTATTACTCAAAGTCTGGACCTAATGAATGAGTAAAAATCTTTAGTCGATCTCTTTGTCCTTCATTCACAGCCACAGAACAGTGTGGACAGAGGAGTGCAGGCCACGCCTGTACAGTTCAGATGAATGAGGTTAAATTTAGAGCTCCTTCAGCTCATCCCAGACATCCTTGGTTCATCAGAAAAGTCTGGTGACGCTGGCTGCTCCGTCAGCCTCGCAGTGCCCTTTGGGTAACTGAATCCACCGGGGGAAAATATTGAGGAAACCCGAGCTTCGCCCACAGACCTGGAAGGACAATGTGCCTACAGTATTACCAGATGTGGTGTCTCTGCCTGCCTTGGGAAGTGGGGGCCAGTGGGGGTCTTTTTTTGGAAAGTATCAGATAAGCTCTCTCCCTGCCTCCCCCTTACTCCATTCCCAAATCCAGCCAGATCGTGTTTTGCCGACAGGTCTGCGAGGGGGGAGAAACCGGAGCCCCACGGTGAGATTGCTTTACAGTTTATACAAGTAGCGGCATAGGTTTCCTCTCAAGGCCACGACACATAATCTCCATCGCTCTCACTGCCTTAAACGAAAAAAAAAAAAAAAGCCTGGTTTATGAGAAAAACTTCGAAAGCTGCAAGAACGACTCATCTGTCACCCTGTGTATTAAAAAGATGTGGGACGATGACCACACACGAGCTTCAGGAAAGGAGACAATCTGTTTAGCAGAAAGACCGTTTTTTTTTTTTTTTTTTAACTGCACTCAGTTTAACACACTTTGGGGCTGATAGAGAATTATAAACATCAGACTATTACCAGATTTTAATGAGTGAAAAAGAAACCGTTTACAGCCTTTGTTGCCTCAGGGTATTTCCAAGTTTAAAACTGCATCTGTCTATTTATATGGATTTTTGCATCGTGAGGAGCTAAAGCAGGTTGGATGCAGCGTTTAAAAGAGCGCTCCTCCAATTTTACACATGCAGTTAAATTTACTCATCATTAGTGAAACTGATAATGCTGATTGTGCTGTCATCTTGACCAGGACTCCCTGGAAGAAGAAATCTTGTATCTCAATGGGACCTTCCTGGCTTAATAAAGGTTAAAACAAACACAATAAAAATCACAAGGAGTATTGTTCAGCCTGTAAACATGTTGTATATTGATGAAAGATTGTCTCATGTGGCTCTGGAACTTAATGAAAAATAATCCTGATGATGTAATCTGGGTTATTTTTACAAACTGGAGGTGTGGGGTTTAAAATGAGTTTGCATTCAGGGAGTTAATCAATCTATCTATGTGTCTCATGAAATCATAGAAGATACAATTCTGGGAAAATGTAATCCTATCAGTTTCTTCAATGTGTGTATTAAAAAAATCAGTTTCTTCAATGTGTGTATTAAAAAAATGTAATAATGAATTTATGTGTGATTCAGGGTTGGAAATTAATTTTTTAGTCCACATGTCACTGAGTCCACGGATTTTGTGGCTAGTGAATGATACAAATCTAGCAGCCACTTCCATATGTTGCCAGCATTTGGATGGTGGTTTTTGCTAATTTCCAACCCGGGTATGATTGGGCATTCTAAGGTTGTCTTCATTTAAGATCTTGTGGCCTGAGGGTAGAAGCTCTTCCTGAGCCTCTCAGTGCTGGCCTGGTGTATTCAGTACCTTCCTCCCGACCTCAACAGGGAGAAAGGGCTGCAATCTGGGTGGTTTGGATCTTTAATGATTGTCCTGGCCTTATTTTTGCAGCACCTGGTGTAAACATCCTTTATGCCGGGTAGAGCAGCGTCTATAGCTGAATAAACCATTCTTTGCAGGGCCTTGTGCTCCTGTTCAGTGATATTTCTGGACCAGGCAATGATGTTCCCTGTCAGGAAGCTCTCAATGGTGCAGATGTACAAAGTTTACTGAATTCAAGAGGATACCAGGAATTTTCTCAGGCATCTGAGGTAAAGCAGTTTTCGCTTTGCCTTTTTCGCCACTGACTCAGTATGCAGCGCCCAGGTCAGGCCTTCAGTGGTATGTACACAAAGGTATTTGACTTTAAGTCAGGATATCTCAGGATCTGCTTTTAACAATTTTAACCATTCTTTTTAAAATTTGATGTACCCCTCTGACTCAAATTGATAGCTCCCAGCAGAGCTAAGTTTTAATTTCCATGCTAGTTATTGTCTGTATGATCTATCCAATACTTCTGTAGACAGACACAAAGGTTGATGATGCTGTGTGAATCTTTTAACGTCACATCTACAGATCTTCTTTCACTCACACCACAAGAAATTTAACTGTGACATATTTTGTTTAGGTTCAGTTAGAAATCATGGACAAAAGTCAGCATGAACTCACAAATAGGAGGTGAAGTGAACACATTTTTGGGAGGATATCAACCCCAGAGTAAAAAAAAAAAAAAAAAACTTTGGTCAAAACAAATCCCATTCCTGTAATTCAGATGATGGACTTTTTATTCCCATTTACAGTAATCTAATTTCCCCCTCTGTTCATAAATCAGTGAGGAACAGCCTCACAAAAACACAGCTGAATTTGAGCATCAGTGCATACTATGGTTTGCCCTCGGTTCGTTTTGTTTTGCTAACCTTTTCAAACATGAGTAACTGCTGGCTATCGAATGTCCATCTCCTTATTACCCTTAAAAACTTCCACTTTGGGGGACGTTTCCTGTGGTTGCTTCAGATTACAGTCACACTCCTTATAAAAACAGCACTGCAGGTTTGTTTGGACTGATAGTTTCAAACATTGCTGTGTGGTAATTTGGTGCCACATGGGTCTGAGTGGCATTGCTCTCACCTTGACAATGAACCACACTAAAGGGACAGATGTTCCAGATTTTCAATTCAACCGTTGCCAACTTGCTTGGTGTAAATGCCCACTTAATGTGATTAAATCATCATTAGCTCAAGTCATCAACAGATCTGCCATCATTTCATTCTCAGTGTGTTTTCCCCATCTTCCAAGGAAACAACAATATCAATTCCATTACTGTAATTTGTAGCTTAGCCAAAGACTCACAATTATCTCCCACAGTTCTGTTGCAGTGACAAATCCTAATGAAAGCCAATCAGCACTTTGAGGGAAATGCCACACCTTTAGAATCATCATTAATTTATAAAGGAAATGTTGGTTCCTTGTAACTCATGCTGTGTTTCCCAAACAAGAAGCACCATGGATACCACTTACATCATATTTTGGGAGGGTGTCTCTTTGCTGCCATAGAGCAGACATAAACCCAGACTGTGTTTGCTGAATAAGAAGCGGCAGGGAAGGTGATAAGGGCTGGTCTGGCTGATGGCACGGGGGGGGAGAGAGACGGTTATTTTGATCCGCTCAGGCAACCGCATTCTGACAGAGTAGCGTGGTGACAGCATCTGTCAGCGAGGGGTTACCAGGCTACCGTCAGATATGATCTGTGGTGCACTTACAAGACCACCATCACACATACGTCTAAAGCTGAAAACTCAATAAGAAGGATTCCCATAGTTTCCATATCTATGGTGTCTCTGGACCATATTCTGTACAATGAGTTGCTGTAAAGACCCATGACTGAGAAGGTTTTGGAGGAGTGATGTGTTTTATTCTGCCGGTGTGAACCCATGCTAAAGATGACCTGGTTAGTGAGTGTCAGAATGATATACAAAGTACCATAACATGACATCCAAAAAGACCTTGCAGTGCAACCTCCATCATTAATAACCACATTTTCTGACCTCTTACCCTACCCAAGCAATGTCTACTGAAGTTATGGCACCTAAAACCATTGCTTGAAATGGGAAAAAAAAAAAAAAAAAAAGTTCTGATACTCCTTTTATTCCATCTTGGCAGGAGTATTGGGGGTCGACTAAAAGTACCAAAAAAGTCATTTCATGAGTTGGTTTGCTAATGGAGTGTTACTTTAAAGATCAGGTGTGGTGGCAGTAGCTGCTCTTCACTGCTACAGTAGGAGTGACACTAATGTTAGCTCGCTGCTCCCGGCCTGCATTTAGTAATGTAGGATTTGACTTTCAAAGCTCTGTTGTGTTTCCTGACACTGTTTGTGTTCTCTTTGTGTTGTGCTTTTGGAGCCAGGCCAACATAACTGTAATGCAACATTACTTAGAAGCAGGCAGGCAAGAACGAGAACAGGTGAGCATCACGTAGTGTGTCCTTGGTCCAGTGCCCCCTGGGTAATGCCGTTTATTAAGGGCCAATATGAATCCCCAAGAGAACCTGACATGGCGAGGACAGGAAAAGTACCGTCAGCTTGTGAGTACGATGTCCAAGAAAAAGCCAAGGTATGCAAACTTGCGAATCCTAGGACAGTGAAGGAATGGCCCACCTTACTCTGCCTCTGACATTCTTACCCAAACCCTAACCAATACTAATCCTCTTGCATAAACCCTGAGCAACCCAACCAATGAAGGCAATGAATACTAGCCAATCAGAGGGAGCGTAGGGCAGGTCATTCCTTCACTATCCTAGGATTTGTACATTTGCTCACAATACACCAAAGAGTAAAACATCAAGTGCCAGCACTGCGTACCGGAGAGCACCCGCCCCTTTCGAGCACTTCCCTAAACACAGCTTGCAGGCAGCGTAACCAAACACTTCATTCACTTAAAAAAAGCAAAGATTAGAGAAAAGTTGGAGTTGGTATTACATGATTTCTTGTTGGAAGGGAAGGTTATTTATTTTGTTTTGCCTTGATCAATCAGTAATGACCGATCTATCTATCCCGCTGATGTGTCAGTTGACTCAAATGCTGTGGTCTCAGTTGCTAGCAGCAGTGAACCTAAAGGTGTCCAGTCTACATTAAGTCTTTGGCTCTTTGGCATCATCAGACACCAAACCTGGTGAAGCCATGGGTGAAACTTGCCGTTTGTAACATTTCAAATGAAGACTAAATTAAAAGAAGAAGCAATCCAGCCCTCTTGTGTGTGTGGTGTATCTGCTTATTTACTACCAATCCACATTTACTTGCTTGCAGTCTAGAGTTTTCCTGCTTTTGTTGGTGCATTACTACGCTTGATCGCTCCTAACCACTGCCGATGTCAATGAGTGGAGCATAAAATGTGTATAACACTGCCTACTCGTGTACACAATACAAACCAAACTGACACCCACTTGTAAAAGCAATACTCAGTGGTGCTACTAGTGGTCAAAACCTCCACAGGGTACCTTTAACGTTTTTCACTCTGTTTAAAACAATATGGTGATTTAAGAATTGGTATTTCTTGAGGCTGACTTACAAAAAAATAATGCAGCTGTGTCAATCTTACCTGCACTTGTTGCGATCTTTTTTTCTTTCTATTTTTCATGCCTTAAGCTAGGCAGCTATGTAGGAAAAAGACGTCCCCATACTAAATCCCACCTATTAGGCTCTGATAGATTGGTCATTTCTCTAATCAGAAGAAACCACCATCAGTGGGGGTCAAACACATCCGCACTGCAGTTCTTCTGTTGCTATTTCTCATAAAAAAAGCAGCTAGGGAGCTACATTGCTATGTAGGAAGATGACATCCCCATTATTACCCTGGCCAACTAAACTCTGACTGGTCAATTGTTTCTGTAAGTGGGAGCAATAGCAGTCAATGATGACAACAACATTATCTGAGCTGCTGAACAAATCTGATCTGTGGGTGGCAATTCAGAAGTCTTGAACCAGGCTAATCTTGTTGATCATCTCGCAGGCCCTCAGATTTATATTGTCCCCTTTGGGACCCCCCCTGGGTTGGGGATCACTGGGCTACACTGTTTGAATGAAAAAGGATCTCTGGCAAGTGCAATGTGAAAACATCACACTGAGGCGCAGCCGACACCAGTGGTTAAGACAAAATAAAAACATGAAGATATTGCAGATCACCATTTAATGTTTCTCTACTAAATGGAAAAATTGGATGTTTGCACTGCAGGTACTCTGCTGTGAAATATACCTCATAGGAATCTTGTGAAATATTCCCATATATATATATATACCCCATGATCAGTGGGAACTCTGCAGTCGTTGCAGGCGTGAGATTTTTGGATGTAGGGATGAAAACCGACACTGATATGTGGTGCTGTAAGGGCCGCTGGGAGCTCATATTAAGACTGCAGTGTTTCTCATTAATATCACTGATGTCAGGTCAGATATTTCACAGAGCTACAGTCTGTTACTGACACACTGGGTACCTTAGTGTTATTTAGTTGGGCGAGTCCGGAACAAGCGTTTGCGAGAAGAAAGTCGCCGCTCAGGACAGCCATCTTATTCCCAAACTCCATGTCCTTCAACGGGCCGTCTGAAACCGTCCACCCCTTCAGATCGACTATCCCACGATGCACCAGGAACGCCGTGTGGATCAACTCAGTGATTTCTGCCAAGTTCCGCTGGCTATGAAACAGAAAAACAAGATTTCATTTATAAATCACAGCTTTTTTGTGAACAGCTTTTAAGAGAGGCGTTCCAGGGGCTTGACAGTTAGAGAGCTTTTTGACAGAAACCTTTTCATTGTCTTTATGCTGGTGAAATGTGCAGGTTTGACAAGTTTGAAAACTCATTCACAGCAGCACGTACAGGTGTGCCGACCACAGAGCAATCAATCAAAACAAAGGATTTGTGGGTTTCATTTCATCCTTCTAGCAAAAGAGGAAAACATCTATTTAGTCAATAAAACGGCAAAATTCACATTGCAGAGTCACGTTTTTTTATTTGACTAAAATATACAGCACCACTATAAACAAAGACTGTTATGATCATCACAGTTTATTCAACTGCTTTCAGAAACATTTACTGACTAGACAACTTAAAAGACGAAACTACTGTGTACTTTCAAAAAAATAAGTGATTTCTCTACAACCACAATTTAGTTTAAAAACCTTTCAAGTCAAAATCAGTGTACTCAAGGGCATAAACCAGCGCACATGTCAGACATCTTACTGCACAGCGTGTCGGGGGTTGTGTTAAAAAAAGATATTAAACTTATCATTAGCAAATAACAGCCATTCTTGATTATGAGAGAAAAGACATAAAAGTGGTCTTTGAATAGCGCCTTTCAGAGCAGCCTTAGGGAGGATATAATCAAATGTTGATTCAGCCATTGGTGGGGGATAATTAGGCCCCTCTCCATATGGAAGGAGCTCGCCACGCTGCGACAGGAGGGATCCATCCAGACAGGGTTGGGTGCGCTGATAGCCACTTACGACCTTCTTTCAGCCGCTGTGAGAACCTGATGAGCCAGTCGTCTGCCTTGCGCTCCAACCCCTTCCTGTACACACACACACTCACACATGCACACATGCACACACTCACACACACACGAGCGTCTTGTAGCCAGGTAATTGCTGTGTTCGACGTCGGCGTGGAAAAGATGTGATTAAAATTCAATAATGTCATCTATTTCGCTTCTCAATCACATCCATTGTCTGGTTGGTTTCTCAGCTCGGTGACGCAGAGAAACAACACAGTCGCCCCAAATGAGAGTTAATAAGTTCAGGGTTTAAATAAGAGGAAATTAACAGATTGACAGTCGCGTGTTCTCAAGGTGCCTCGGAGTGATGGCTACGCTCGACGGGTTTCAAGAGGAGAACTCATTGTTACAACAAGGGGAGGACGATAAAGAGCTGTGGCTGATTTCAGGTCATAAAAATAACATTTTACATTGTATTCCAAGCTGAGGCAAAGCTTACAGTGACCATTTATTCCATTATTTAACTTGATCCAAGAAAATAAAAATTAAAAAATAAAATGTGATAAACGTGTTATCGGCTCATGCTTTTGCTTATAGACCCAGTTACCGTCACCAAATTAAATATTACAAAATATCAATAAAAGAGTGCTCCTTCGATTCAGCATTGTACTCCTATAACATTTTAGGATCTTGGTGGACACATGGGTCAAAATCAATGCGGCAGAACCCGAGATACTGTCACCCCCATTACCCATAATGCAATTCATTAGCCAAAAGTTTGGTCCGAGATTCAGGTTTGCCACTAGTAGTGGGTAATATAGCCTTGAGCTGCTAGCCAGAAGCAGAGATATGGAGTGGGCTACAGGTCTGGTAAGCTCAATTCTTTTAAACATCCGCATCCTCAGATTTTTTTCAGATTCACACTCGTAGTCTTCAGACCCGGCCAAGTGGCAGCCTCTGGGGCTGAAAAATGAAGCCAACGTCAAAGCGCCAAAAACTGCAGGTCCTCAAATGTCCACTTGAGGCTGGCTCCAAAAGCGAGTCAATCCCCTTAGACCAGTTGTTCCCAACTGGTTCTGAATGAACCACAAGTGACACATAAAGGTGTCTTTGTAACAAAAAAACACACTTTACTTTTAAGTGCAGTGAATTTCCAACATTGAGCTTTTATTTTGAAGTGCTGTTTCCTGCTGTAGAGCAAATGACTAACAGACAGCTACTTCACAGAGACAGCAAACTGGCCCAACGACATGGCAAAACGCAAGTATGATGCTGAATATATTAAACTGTGTGGACCTCGAACTAATGACTAAGGAGAAATCTGGACCCTAGGGCTGGACCAGTTGGGAACCACTGCCTTAGACACCCATGTTAAAATCCCCAACTTTACAGCAGAAATAAACATGTTTACAGCCTAGTACAAAAAATGGTTTTGGTTTTGTTGTCTCATCTGTTTACATTGCATCAAGCCTTTAAGTTATGCATAAGTGCGTGGCAACTTTGAATGACAGGCTGTCTGCAAGACATCACCACAGTCTGAGTCAGATCCACCTCCTCGCTCCTTCAAAGCTCCACCCTCTAGTCCAAATATGGTCATATCTAACTCCAAAAAACCAAAATGCAACAAAATGCCAAATTCAGGGGTTCAAAGCAGGAGTCCATAAACCAATGGGTGATGTCACGGTGACTACATCCATTATTTTTAAACTGTCTATGGCCCCAACCTATGCTGACTCAGGTGAGATCACTTAAAGCAACTGATCAGACTTCATACAGCTCCCTCTGGAGCAGCACAAGTTTTTATCTGACCTTATTCTTAAATGCATTAGTAAACCCAAACACATTTAAACAGCCAATATGTGAAATTGATGGACTTCCCATCTTTTTATGAATATAAAGTCTTCTCTTTTTTATGAATGGCTGTAACAATTTCAGTGTATTATTTTTATTTCGTAGAAGTGGTAGCTGATATGGATACAATCCTCTATCCTCCATTATATCAATATATTATACTGTGATACACTAAATTTTATGAATATAGCAACTAAGAATGTTTATGGATAAAAGAACCAGATGGGACTGCCTGGTGTTGGCAAATCAACCAAATGAGAAATCAGGGTACTTTATTACACTAATGAAAAAATCCTAAAAATAATATTGCTAAAAAGCAGTCCTAATCATTGATTTTCAACATTCTTCAAAATGGTCTAATAGACCTAAAGATATTGAAAGGGATAGCTGTGGCAGCATAAATAGAATGGCAAAATCTGCTATGGAAGACAATTCTAAATCCTCTTGCAGTATATATACATCAACATTGCCAAACCCTAATTTGGAGGGTAAATGGGGTGATCATAATTCCAATGGTTTGGCTTCAATGGATAATTTTAGTGTCCCATGATGCTCAACCTGTATAAGGACCCCACCCTAACAGGAAAGTAATATAAGGAAACACACAGCCCTTGAAATTACTTAGAATTCTTGATTTTAAAGTACTAAACAATGGCACAACAATGGCAGGTACCTTCCTCCAAAAAACCCCAATCAGTTGAACCCCGGTGCATACACATCCCAAAGCTGTGCCTCCAATCTAGCAGTCCTGATCAGTAGCAGTGGAGCTTGGGGAGGAAAAAGGGGGACAAGGGGGCCGGTGTATAAATAGCTTTGGTGCCCAGTTGCATAGCAACCGATGCCATCTTGCTGAGGTGTAACGCCCCTCACCACGCCCCTTGTCCTGACTGTTCTGTTCCATTTTCCTCCCTCTGCAGTGTGCCTCGCCATCAAATACAGCCTTGCAGATGTGAGTGCATCCCTGTGTGTGATTTAAAGAGGTGGCCTGTCCATCACACGGGCTGCGTGATGTGTTCAGTGGCATGGCTTTCATTTGTCACAAAAAATTAAGAGGTGTGGTGGGTACAAGTTGGACTATCTGCGAGTGCCTGCTTATCTATCTATCTATCTATCTATCTATCTATCTATCTATCTATCCATCTATCATGGTGGTGCTTTGGTGAATCATCAGTGTCAGGCAGCAGAGTGGGAAATGTTTTACAAATGCTGCCTGTCAGGAGGGAGGAGACTGTCCCCCGGAGGTTTCAATCACCCCCCCCAAACCCGCCCCACCCCGACTCCCTCCATCCTACCATCTCTTCCATCAGAGGTGCTAATGAGCCCAGGAGAGGTGGGGGGATTGCTGGGGGGAGAGAAAGAGAGAGCAAGATAGTGCAAATGAGGTGATCAAGTCATGCTGTGTGTGTAAGTGTGTGTGTATGTGTGTGTTTGGGTTTGGACTATCCATCACACATGAGTGAGGGAATGCTGCATGTTGGATTCGGTGATCCAGTGTCATAGTGATGTGAGTGCCAGGCTGTGTGACATGAGGTGCGTGTCTAATAATTCGTCCTGGAGTGAGACAGAACCCTGTAGACACGGCTCGGCCTCGCAGCCTGACAAGGACCGGACTCAAGCGCTTCCATGGCGCCCAGGTTATTCCAATTAGTTCTAATATTAGGATGTTTCTGCACAGACACGGCTCCACTACACACATGTGCCTTGTGCCAGCTAGCAGTAAGAAAGAAGCCTTTCAGGCACCCAGCGCTCAGCCACGCCAAACACAGCAGTCACTTCTGGAAACCACTTGGCACACACCCACATCCCTGTTCTGAGCTGCATGCTGGAAGTCAATGTGTGTGTGAGAAAGCCAGGGAGGACCTTGGGGTGCTACCTAAAGCATTTTAACAGCAGTACATTAATACCACATTTAACACTCTACATTTAAATATGTATAAATACATTTATATATTATGGTTTGTTACATCTATTCCAAGCAATTTTCTTTGATTTATGTCATAACAAAACTAGAGAGCCATTTTGAGAGGCTGTAATGCTCACTGTTAAGACCTCTACACTGTTTCATAAAGTTGACAACCAAAGTTGTTTTTTGTGTAATAATTAGCCAGAGAGTAGTGTCAGAATACAATAAACAATCACACACTATTTATTGCTAATAAGAACAAATGTTACATGCAAACTAGCTGATGGGAGTAACATTTTTGCAACAGTTTAGTCAAAAACTGAAGAATGGGACAAACAATCAGGGGTCACAAAGAGTCTGAATATCTACCAAATTACATGGCAAGACATTCAATGGTAGTCAAGACGGACAAAAGTCAAATGGTCACTTGAGTCATTAGGATTGAATGTACGAATGTACAGAATTTTGTGGCAATGCATAATGTAGATGTATATCCTTGGATGAATAAAAATAGTCATCTGTAAAAGTCAGTAGGATTCATCCTCTGGGGACAATGAGTGTCTGTACAAAAGGACACCACTTTCAGGCTAATGCATTTTAACTAGCAAGAATTAAGATCTGGGGCTCTATTTAAACCATCTATAGCGCATGGTCTGCAGTACATGGTGCAAGTGTATTTAAGGCCTGTCGAACAGAATTGAGTGGTATCACAGTTTAGGAACCCCAGGAAGAATAGTCATCACCATGGTGACAACTAATGGGGATCCATTAAACAATAAACAAACAATAAACAGTATAACGGTATGAAAGGGTATTTAGAAATCCCAGTCAAAAACACAGATGCTCCTCTTTTTATAAAACTCATACAGAGATGCTGTATTGTATTTAGTGCACATCACATGCCACCAGAGGTCAGGTTAGGTAGTGCCGCACACACACCATCATATACTGTGTACCCCCGTGGAACTTCAGGAAGGTAAGAAGGTATGAAATAGATAAATACTGCCCAAACATAGCGTCCAACCGCTTTAGCTGGTTAAACTGCATCTAATCTGAGCGCAAAGTAAGACCAAAGGGGCAAAGGGGCTATATTTAGTCCCTTAATAGGAATGTTTTGGGCTTAACATGAATTCAACCAATCAGAGTGTCATTTTCCATTCCCTTTAAAAGCCAGGTGTGCCTGCACCTGGCGCACTGCTGTTTACATGGCTGATTCGGCAAATTGGAGAAGCGAGCGGTTTTCTGCTGAGAGTAATGCAGTAAGAGCAGTAATGTCACTGCAGCACATACTGGGGGACATTTAAGCAGCAAAACAAAAAACTGTAGTTAGAAACTTGGGAGAGGGAACAGAAGTAAACTTTTAGCTTCTGAAATAGTCAATGAAGTTACGCTGCTCCTTGTGCGTAAATGTGCACAGAGTCTCTATTAATGGGGAGTTGGACAGCAGCTCTCTGCTAAGATCACATCATAGAATGTAATTAACATTTTCCTCCTTAATATTTCCTCATTAATGATTACTAATAATAATTAAGTGTGTAACAAGCAGAACATACGCATGTTGTGAACCCACTTTTGTAGGCGCATCTTACTATCTGAATAATGTGCCCTTTAAATAGCAGTAAAATACTACACCATTTACTTAAGTCCTAGTTTTTGTTGGTCAATGGCAATGTGCCAACAGTACGCCTGACTGCACCTCATTTTAAGACCTACACACCCATGGGCACATGGATGGGTGCAAGTACATTTGCTACTTACTCCATGTGGGTGCTGGCCATGAAAATGACAACTGCATTGGTCTGAAACTAGCAATGACAGTTGCGCTATGCTGTCTGCTTCTTTAATAAGCTGCTTTGTGTTGTGTGTAAGATAGAGCCCATGTTCTTTAACATGCAAATGTCTCTGCTTTCTGTAGGGCCATTTCGCCATTTAACACACTGTTTAGTAAGTTTGCTTTTACAAAGACTTTTTGGTCATGTTTCAGTCTAATATATCTCTTTACTATGTAACTGTTTGGCAATTTTAATGCAAAGCAGCAACTGCAGGGTGGTTTTGTTGAATATTTTTTTCCAATTAGCCACAAACTAAATATAACAGAATACATAAAAAACCCATCCCATCTTGTAACTGTGGCTGTATTGCCCCCACATTCCATCATATTAGCAAGATGATGTAGTGCTTCATTTACAGGAATTGATATGGACGATAACCACAGAGGACACGATAGAATTACCTGACACTGGGATTTTATTTCACTATTTATCCTTCAGCAGCCATGTAACAGGGACAAAAGAGGCATTGCGTTTCTTGGTCTGCTTGCCATGCACATTTATGGGCCTACAATGCAATGTTACACATGTTTACTGCCCACTGTTTTCTCCCAAGCAGCTCATACGTGAGAATGGAAATATGTGGAAGCCAGAAAGATGTCGGTTGGTTTTAATGTATTGAACCAAATAAGTTGCTGGGTGGAAATTAGCACTGATATGATATGGCCATACTTCCTAAAATGCTCTATGACTGTGATTAAGGTTGCTAGACACAATTTAACTGTTGAGAAAAATCCTAAAGGGCAATTTTTGCAATGTGTTTTATGCAAAAGCAACCAATTACATTTTTCACAGTAAGCCAGGCTTTAGGGAATTTCCTGCATAGGAGGAAGATTCATCAGTGCATCCTGCTGATGTTGATACTTGCACCATTTAGAGCTGTAAAGTCGAACATGCTGAAGGGTATAGAGAGTAAAGCAGACGTCAGGGAGTTTGAAAAACGGCAAACAATCAAAAACAAAGCCATAGGAACAGCTTACTGGATAGCTGATGCTTTGATGGACTTTGATGGATCTAATCAGTGATGGGCAAAGCTGTCTGTACTCAGTATCTTGTTACTCCAACCAATCCGATGTAAAACAATGCAAACTGTTTTTCCTTAAAGTCCAACCTGGTGTTAGTAACATTAAGTTATTTACCTTGGGTAGATGCCGCTGACCATGTCCTGAGCCAGGAGATCAGAGACTGCGTGGCCCGGCCCTGCGGCTTTCGACAACAGCAGTACGACCAGTCCCCTCATCTGAAGGTTGTTCCTGCTGTCGTAGACAAAGCCCCTGCAAAGAAATACCATCAGTAAATTAAAATACAAACAAACAAACGTTCAATTTTTCTAGCAATTTTTAACTATGTACTTAAGCTGCGTTTCCACCGAACAATTTCGGTATAGTACCCTTCGATCCGTACAGTCATGAACCTAAGCTGTCGATTTGTTTTAAGTTTTCACTGCAGACAGTAATCTTAAACGTAGGTGGGGTTGTACCAGATTGTAATAGCCGTGTCACTGCTCCATCCAGCTGTTGCTGTATTTCCTTTTCACTTACAATGTCAGCACTTCGTTGATCATCCACGAAACAGGGTTGTGCGCCATTTTCAGCACATAAAAGAACAGGCTGGAGTGTTTAGAGCAGAGTAAGGGTGTAATGCTGCAGGAGTGCAAAGGATTGACACTCAGAAACATTTTTTCTCCAAGTAAAAAAAATGAATATTTGCAGTTTGTATAAAAGATCCAATCATCATTAAAACATATGTCATGCTTTTATTAAATAGGATAGACTAAGCATGAAGGGCAGAGCGAGAGGTTCTGGAACTGAATCCGCGGTGGCAAGGACAGTGCCTTTGTACATGGGGCACCTGCTCTACCCATGGACCTACTGTGTACCCCAGAGTTGGTATATTCACATTTAATGTGTGTTGATTCACACTTCAGCCCAACATGCAAGAAAATATTCCACTTTAAGAGTTGTGGGTAGCTGTTGGCAGTAGCCTTTGGGTGGCACAGTGAATAAAATTATTTTTTCTCAATCTATAGCTGCAAACTGTTGACTACTAATGAAAAGACAACTTGCTACTGTAGAAAAAGTGTTTACAGCCCACTTTAGTCTGAGCAAGAGTGTTGATTCTCTATTGACCAATCAATGGAGGTAGGTGTGCTAGGTACTTCAACAGAGGGGTGACGAAAAAACAGGATAGGACAGTATGGAACCGATCTATTGGTACCATCCACAACTTCTGACAAAGGAAATGCAAAGATAATAGTTCTAATGTGTGACAAACTGAACTGAACTGAACTGGACTGCTTGATGGAAAGGGGGGTTTAGAATATTAAGAAGTCCATTAGCTGAGTAGGAAAGACTCTCTCCTTGTAGACCTGCTATACTGGCAGTTCATCACACTGTCACCATATAAAAGTACAACAACACAGTAAAGAGTTCAACTTGCATTGCAGCAAGGGTTTTTAAAGGTAAGCAACATGTAGCATCTCTGTTTCTAACATCTTTCCCAACACCCTGCTGCCATCTGTTGTGAAGAGCCTGATTCCAGTTACACCTGCTCCCACTGCTTCACCTTGTTTTAATGAGCAATGTTTAGGAACCAGTAACAGCTTGAAAACATCCGGCATGCATAGTTCAAACTATGTGGTTAAATAATGGACAGGACATAATGTTGGCTAACGTACTGTTCGCTTCCAAAATAAGGTTCTTTCTTCTTTGTGCTGAAAACACCTCTGGCTGATGTACTCAGTGTAAAATGCAAGGTAAAGGCTGCTAATCATCATGGTTGTTTAAAACAGTGTTTGACAAATAATATGCAAATTTATCATCATTGAGAGCAGTGAGACTGAACCAGAACAGGAAAGCCAATCCCAAGATTCACTCTCATTTGATGTTTTCGCCTTACCCTATTTGCAAATTTTTTTTTTTCAGTGCTGCGTCTCTTGGATGCCTGCTGCTTATGATCTGGCACCTGGTCGCTACCTTTTTATAAAGCCTCGACCTCACCTGAGAGCTGTGGGGGTACACGCCCATAAACGTCCCTACATGTAAAATAAGAAGAAAATAATAAAATACAGGCTGAGGGCTCTGGTAGGCTATAAGTTATGATTGAGAGGGATTACTTTTGTGTGTTTCTCATACATTTACATTGTTTTTTAATTATTTTAAAGGCCCTGACACACCAAGTTGACAGTCAGCCGTCAGTCACTGTTGGGCTGTCGGTGAGCGTATGTCACCCTAGTCAGTGCGGTGTATCCCGCACCATTGCCTCTCATGAGCCCCCATTAGCTGTTTTGGCTGATTCAGCAAGTTGAATCACTGACGGCAATGACAGAGACTGTTGATGAATAAAATTACTCTGACCAGCTTAACACGCAAGCAAAGAAACAGAAGTGAGGTAAGTTAACAAAGAGCTAAAGTCAAAAGGGAGTGAGTCCAAAACAAACTTATTACATAAGGTAAGATTATTTCCCTTTACGCATTGAGCTCTTTAACAGATACATTTCCTTATGGTTTGTGTTATTGTTCATTGGCAAATGGTAAATATGCTCTGTTCTATCAACGTTTGAGTTGTGTTGTTAATGTGCTAACTGGCTAACCAGCGTTAAGACGGTCTTCCGGTTTCCCCTTTTGATGCATACAGACTACTGCCGTCTGCTGGTGTGGAAGGGTATTTCATCATACGCAGGAGGAGAACGTATATGCTGGTTGGCCATCGGCAACAGTCTTTGCCATGTGTTCATGTGTATATTTTCGGCAGAGACACAGGTGACATGAGGCGACCCAACAGTTGGCTTTTGTTGCCGCTGGTTTTCTGAAGTCAGTTTGGCGTGTCTGGGCCTTAAAAGGTCCAGTGTGAAAGATTTAGGGGCATCTATGGGCAGAAATTGTATATAATATTCCTAACTATGTTTTCATTAATTTATAATTACCTAAAAATATGAATTGTGTTTTCAATACCTTAGAATTAGCCGTTTATATCCAGATACAAAGTGGGTTCTCTAATGGAGTCCACCATGTTGTTTCTACAGTAGCCCAGAATAGACAAATCAAACACTGGCTCTAGAAAGGGCCATTTGCCTTTTTGCGTCGTGTTCTCCTACACACTTGGTACATGGAAGAAGTTTTAGTTCTGCAACCTCACCGCTAGATGCCACTAAATCCTACACACTGGACCTTTAATATAAGAACACTGATTATAAATGTGTTTGTCTTACTTCTGGTTCCAAAATCATGTTTGAAAGAATTATAAGACACAATGAGGAAAAAAGAAAGTGCTGATTCAAACACAAAGTAGTTTAAAATATATACAGAATATCTATAAACTAGTCCTGCACATTAATTTGATGCTATGTGATCTTTTCTAAATGGGCTTCAGGTCCTGGTTATTCATTATAGACCAGTTTCTGTCTGTTGAACAAAGAATGAAACAAGGCAATGACACTGATGACACAACGCAAAGTGTTCAACAGAATGTTAACGGATTGTTGCATGGTAGAAAAATAACGGGAAAATAATTAATCAGTTTTGCTGCAGGACTGTATATTTCTTTTGGGTTTGGGGGGGGGGCAACACACACACACCCACACACACACACACAATCACACACAGTAACACACACACACACACACAGAGCCCAGAGGTAGCTGCCTGCGTGGTGGGCAGATTAAATATCTTTTTACTCTCTCTGGGGAGCGGTTAGACAGAGCACCTCTAATCCTGTCCCTATGGGAGCCCCTTGTGCCATGAATCACGCTCTCGTTAGGGGCTTCGAGGCAGACAAGCAACCACGCCCCCCTCCGCTCGATGCCCAGACACCGGCCTCACCAACCCACCGCCAGCCCGAAGCCCCCACCTCCACCCCCACCCTCTCTGACCCACCCCTGCACCACAGGGGGAGGTGGAGGAACCCGAGACAGAGTGGATGTGGGAGATAAAGCATGAAGAGAGGGAGGGGACGGAGAGAGATGGAGGGAATAGAGGCCAGACAGAAATGAGAATGCCAGAAAAGATGACAGAAGAAATACACTGGTGATTCACAGCACCCTGGTGCTGAAAGGGAAAAAAAATGCACATACCCAGGAGCTTTGTTCCTTCCCAAAAAAACATAAAACACCTTACACCCCCCCCCCCCCCCTAATTTACGATACAGCTGACATTATGGAGGGCTGTCTTTCATCGCAGCTCATGAGATTTATTTATGGTCACTCTAAATTTTTACTCAATTGGAAAATAGAGACCAGCCTGGTGCGCTGATGAATGCAAAAGCATCCGCCGCTGAACAGAAAACGTCTTGAGAGCAAAAATTATGAAGCTGCTCTCCTCTTGGGGAGTCCGGTTAAACCAGTGGCCTGAGGGTGGCAGATGATTAATATTTATGTCACTACCCACACCAGCATACATCAATCAATCACAACCGCCCTCCCGCAAAAGGGTGGGGCGAGGATGATGTGTAAAGCGAGAGATAGTGGAGGCTACAGAGAGGCAGAGAGGGAGTGGAAAGAGAGAAATGGGCTGCTGTCATTTTAAAGGGTTGTGAACAGGTCACCACGCCTTCTGCTCCGCAATTGCAGCGCAGGAATTCGGGAACTTTAGCTGCCGTATACAGGGGCTGGAAATAATGCATGCAAATGTATGACCTCACTTGTGTGGTGGCATATTGATCCTCTGTCTGCCTCTTTACTCCGAAGTATTGGAAGAATGAATGAATGTGCTCAAGTGCCTGCACTTTTCCTAAGGATAGAATTTATGCAATGCATCTGTCTCTTCTGTACTTAGCAGGTATTTCTATAGATTAGGATCATGATATGTTTAGAAAATATGGTTAGAAAAATTTCCATGCATTGATTCTCACAGTGCCATAAAGCCTGATCTACAGCAGGTGGTTTTCTATGGTGTGGGAATGTGTCTTGTGTCTTGAGTACACTTTGCGAAAGTCCCAAAAAAACAGGAAGTTGGTTTTAAAGAATGTGATCCAACCAGCTATGTATCCAAAACACAATGCTCTGCAAAAGTTACATTTCTCTTCAGAAAATTTGTGCATTTCTCCAAGCTCTTCTCACTGGTTTGAACTGGGCAGGGTTAAGTTGGAACAGGGTAATGTCACTTTCATGCACCAATCGGGATTTAGCAACATTTTAATCAGAGTCTGATGGCAGTTGTGGAGGTGTTTGCTTCTGTTAGTGGACCGCTGTCAGTCAAGTCTGATCAAACAACACCCACAGAGTTCTGAAGAAGCAGATTAGCTGATTTCTTTTTTTCTCCTCGCAAATAATAATTAA